AAAGCTTTTCTTTTTGTTTTGTTTTGTTTTTTGAAACAGAGTCTGGCTCTGTCACCAGTGGTGCAATCTTGGCTCACTGCAACTTCCGCCTCCCGGGTTCAAGCAGTTCTCCTGCCTAAGCCTCCCAAGTATCTGGGACTAGAGGCACGCACCACCATGCCCAGCTAATTTTTGTCTTTTTAGTTGAAATGGGGTTTCACCATGTTGGCCAGGATGGTCTTAATCTCTTGACCTCGTGCTCTGCCCACCTTGGCCTCCCAAAGTGCTGGGATTATAGGCATGAGCCACCACGCCTGACCCAAAGCTTTGCTTTTGAGTGCTCAGTCAACCTTTTGTTGTCCTTCCAGACTCAAGCAGAAGCTGATCACAGTGATTAAACAAACATTTCCAGTCCATTCAGACTATACAGTATAACCATGTATAAATTTCCTCACCTGCTACAATTACATATTCACCTGTAATTCTCATGCTGAATATTTGAGGACAGGGATATGTATCTATTTACCTTTCTCCTTGAAGCACCTGGCTTCTATATGTGGGTTGAATGGACAAATGTTTTCCAATAGTGATTATCACATAGCATAGACACAATTGGATCAAAGTCCCTAAGTGTTGGGAATTACAGTCACAGCAGTCACTTGCTACCAAGGCAGACATTCTTCTCCATTTGAACAAACGCATTTCCAACATCATCATTTCTCTGATGTTCAGGGTAATCTATCCATAAAATTATCACTCTTTTATAACTGAAAAGTTGTTGCATGTGATACAGTGTTGAGCGTGGTAGGCAGAACTTAAAGTGCAGATTCAGAGACCAAAGACTTCACATTTCTAGTTCTAGCCCTCACTATCTCCTTCCTCAGGGGTAATTATTTTTATGTGGCAGGGCATTCATTCAATTTGGATTTTTGCAGATGATGATAATTTGTACAGTGGGTATTTACCATGCTATCAAAACAGATTAACTTTTGAAATTCTTTTTTTTTTTTTTTTGAGATGGAATTTTGCTGTTGTTACCGAAGCTGGAGTGTGATGGCATGATCTCGGCTCACCTCCACCTCCACCTCCTGGGTTCAAGCAATTCTCCTGCCTCAGCCTCCCAAGTAGCTGGGACTACAGGCGCGCACCACTGTGCCCAGCTAATTTTTTGTATTTTTAGTAGAGACAGGGTTTCACTTTGTTGACCAGGATGGTCTCGATCTCTTGACCTCGTGATCCACCTGCCTCGGCCTCCCAAAGTGCTGGGATTATAGGCGTGAGCCTAACTTTTGAACCCAGCCTAACTTTTGAAATTCTAAGAAAACACTAGTCAATGCACCCACCAAACCAAAGCAAAATTTCCTTTTTTTTTTAGGCGGAGTTTCACTCTTGTTACCCAGGCTGGAGTGCAATGGCGCGATCTCGGCTCACAGCAACCTCCGCCTCCTGGGTTCAGGCAATTCTCCTGCCTCAGCCTCCTGAGTAGCTGGGATTACAGGCACGCGCCACCATGCCCAGCTAATTTTTTGTATCTTTAGTAGAGGCAGGGTTTCACCATGTTGACCAGGATGGTCTCGATATCTTGACCTTGTGACCTACCTGCCTCGGCCTCCCAAAGTGCTGGGATTACAGGCTTGAGCCACCGTGCCCGGCCCTTTTTTTTTTTTTTTTTTGAGACAGAGTCTTGCTCTGTCACCCAGGCTGGAGTGCAGTGGCACAATCTCAGCTCACCACAACCTGTGCCTCCCCGGCTCAAGCAATTCTGATGCCTCAGCCTCCCCAGTAGCTGGGACTACAGGCATGCTCTACCATGCCCAGCTAATTTTTGTATTTTTATTTTATTTTATTTTAAGTTCTGGGGTACATGTGCAAAATTTTTGTATTTTTAGTAGAGATGGGGTTTCACCATGTTGGCCAGGCTGGTCTTGAAATCCTGACCTCAGGTGATCTGCCTGCCTCATCTTCCCAGAGTGTGATATTACAGGATTGAGCTACTGTGCCTGGCCTCTTTTCCTTTAATCTTTTTGTCTTTCATCATTTTATATGCTGGGCTTTTTACATTTTAACTTATTTATTTTAGTAAGAATTAACTTCCAGTATAAATGTATAAATATGCCACCTTCTAGATAACAAGGGGGGTGGTAAAGATACATATATGTAGTTGTTTGTATCTCTGCAGAACATCTCTATAAGGCTGCAGAGGAATGATGGAACACTGGTTACCCACCCCCGGGGAGAAGAGCTGGGTATCTAGCAGGCAGAGTGAGAAGAGGACTTTTTACTTACACCCTTGTGTATCTTTGGGGGTGGAACCATACAAATTATCTCACTTCCTTAGATATGAAACACAAGCTAATAATAATTTTATGTCTAATACTTTGAAGGCGTTATTCAAGTGCCTTGCCATGAATGTTCCTGCCAAATTAACATGGTTGAGGGAGAATAGGGCTTAGGTACTTGGTTAGTAAATGACATCTGTGGACTTGAGGGAGGAAGTTCAACTCAGTTGTCTAACATCTCTTGGGTTTTACGGTCATTTTCTATTTAAAAAATTCTTTTATTTTCTTCCTGATTCAATTAACAAGTTTTTATTTAGTGCCTATTCTTTGCCCAGTACTGTCCTGGAAATTCTAGGAGATATAAAAGAAGCCTTCATGAAATAACTTTTAGTTCTTGCCAAGTGTGGAGATCACTGTGGAATGATATGTGGCTAGAAAGTCATCCTGGAAGCAGAGTCTTACTTGGAGAGAAGCAGCAAGGCTTAGACAAATGGAAGGAGGACCGGGCCGGGCACGGTGGCTCACGCCTATAACCCCAGCACTTTGGGAGGCTGAGACGGGTGGATCACGAGGTCAAAAGATCGAGACCATCCTGGTCAACAAGATGAAACCCTGTCTCTACTAAAAAAATATATATATATATAAATTAGCTGGGCATGGTGGCGTGTGCCTGTACTCCCAGCTACTCAGGAGGCTGAGGCAGGAGAATTGCCTGAACCCAGGAGGCAGAGGTTGTGGTGAGCCGAGATCGCGCCATTGCACTCCAGCCTGGGTAACAAGAGCGAAACTCCGTCTCAAAAAAAAAAAAAAAAAAAAGGAAGGAGGACCGGAGGGGCTGCTGGTGAGGGACAAAGCTTGATAGGGGCAGAAAGCCATATGAGTGGTCAGAGAGACCGGTTTGGAAAGTCCCTAAAGGTCAGGCTGAAGAAGTTAACCTTGGGAGTCCCTTAGGAGTGATAACTCAAGAGAGGGAAGCCTGGTATTAGCAAGGACATAAGAGAGAACTGAGAAACGAGATGCTAGGAGACCACCCTTGTTGCAATAATTGGATGTAAAATTATGACGGTTTGGATTTAGAATGTTCCAGAGGGAAGAGAAAGGAAAGAAATAATTCATGAGGCATTTCAAAGGAGGAAATACTAGGTTTTGATGACAGGCTGGAGATGAGAATGGGAGAAGTCACACATGATTCCAATTTTCCTAGCTTGGGAAGCCAGCAAAGTGACTTCTTTTCAGATCTTTCTTTCCTCACACACAAACTGACCCCCTCATAGAGTTCAGTTGAAATATCAATTACAAACAGAATTGATCTGTTTTTTCCCTTAGAAACACAATCTTATTTGCCTTTAGGTAAATGACCCAAGATGAACGTTGCTGGGCTTTGCTCTTGGGTATAACTCATACCTCTATGACAGTGCTCCTCACTTTGGCCTTGCACTGTGTGTGTGGTGTGCAGGTGCCTTTGTCACCCACTAGACCAAAAGTCCTTGTTGTGCAGGGACCACGTGTCATTCATAGATAAGTATTTAAAAGTTTTTTTTGGCTCATGACTGTAACCCCAGCACTTTGGGAGGCTGAGGCAAGTGGATGTCCTGAGGTCAGGAGATTGAGACCAGCTTGGCCAACATGGTGAAACCCTGTCTCTACTAAAAACAACAATTAGCCAGGTGTGGTGGCAGACACCTGTAGTCCCATCTACTTGGGAGGCTGACACAGTAGAATCGCTTGAACCCAAGAGGTGGAGGTTGCAGTGAGCGGAGATCACACCACTGCATTGTAGCCTGGGCGACAGAGGAGACTCTCAAAAAAAAAAAAGAGTTTTCGTTAATTGTTGAAGAAAATGAGATTTAAATGAAACATAATACTTAAACAAACTTTCCAGAAACAACAGCATTAAAACAAAATCATTGAAATTAAAATTTACATAAATTAAAAGGCTCTCTGTTCCACATGCCAAAAAAAGATCTTATACTCTATTGTAATAGTGTTAGGGTCACACAGCTTTATTCCTTAGCTTAGCTGTTGCAATACAATAATAATGCAGTGCAAAAATACTGTGTAATAAACGTCAATTAAATGAAACACTTCATATATACTTTACACAAGTTATTGGATATTGCTTAGTATTTCTTTTTCCCCCCTCTGCGGTGCAAAGATATTGTTTAATATTATCCCCATTTTCTAGTAGAGGAAACAGTTACAGAGAAGTTAAGAAATTTGCACAAGGTCACCTAGCTAGTAACTGTTGGAGCTGGGATTTGAACCCAAACAACATAGTCGACTCTCCACCCTTAAGAGCTCTGCTCCCTATTATGTAAGCAGACAGCTCTCTTTTGGGGACTGACAGGTTATTTGAGGTATATGAACCATTTTTGGTGGTGGTGGTGCTGGGGGCTTTCCCACACAATACTGGAAGTGTCTAGTTATATGGGGCATAACCTTAGGAGCAAGCAGGAAAAGAAATGTATTCCAATAGTCTTCAGAAACATACCATAGTAAACGAATAACCATTAATAATAGCATTTTACAGCCTACCTAATAACACAAGAATAAACCCCTTTAACTGGAACCTAAACAATACCCCCTCCTCTCATTTTATTAAAAGCCTTGTTTTATTTGGAAACTCTTAAAATAAGTGGTCATACGATTAAAAAAAGCTGCGGCGCGCCCCCTCCCCGGCGGCCGGGCGCAGCTGTCCGCGCCTCCCCCGCGCGGCTGCCAGCATTCCAACTCTCTGAGGTCACGGGCCGCCGCCGCCGCCTCCCTGGGTCCGCCCGCCCGACCTAGGGGGAGGGACGCCCGGCCCGGCCGCCCGCTGCTCCGGCCGCGCGTCCCGCGTCGGTCCGACCGTCCGTCAGTCCGTCCTACTGCCTCCCCCCGCCCCCGCAGGGCTTCTTTGTGCGGCACTACTCGCCTGCAGGTCCACCCCCAGGCCTCGCCCCTCGCCATCGCCACCGCCGGACTCTGCCCAGGGGAATGGTCTGCGGGCCGGGTTTTTGGAGACAGGAAGTGAGGCGTGCGAGCCCCATGAGCGCGGCGCGGCGCGGGCTAGCGTGCGGGCGCGGCTGCGGCGGCAGAGCTGCGGGGCCCCGGGAGGCGGGCCGCTGAGCGGTGCGCGCGGCCCCGAGGATGCGGGAGCGGGAGCAGGTGAGGGCGCTGGGCTTGGCCGGCGGGAGGGGCGGGCACCGGCTGGAGCGGTGGGGTGTGTCCGCTCGCCGGGACCCCGGAACGCGCCCGCGGCCCCGGAGTCCCGGAGGATGGGGCGCGGCTGCCAGACTCACAGCGGGAGCGTTAACAAAGACAAAAGTTTTCCTTTTCCAGATTCGCTCTCATGTACTTGAGTAATTTCTAAAAGGGGTCTGGAACTTCTATTCTGAACGCCCTGGCCGATTGTTGCGGGTTAATTCTGGATCGGGGTTTTAAATGGGTTAGGCATATTTGTGCCTCTCAGAATATGTAAACGTGAAATTCGCCAGATAACTTTGGCGAGAAGGGGCGCAAGGAAGGGCTGTTTGGTAATGCCTGGTTCGTTTTTGGAGTAGTGTTTATTCTGGAAGAGAATTCTTGGATCTGCAAATTCCGACTGGTGATTTCTGCAAATCCTGATTAGATTGGCCGCTCTTGGCATGTTCGTCCTATTTTCTTTTTTGCTGAGAAAGCCTTACAATAATAGAGTATGCTCGCAAACACATTGAAAACATTCGTGTGCTCCAAGTGACAACTACTATACGCCTCTTAGTTGCTGACAGTTTATTTTTTTAAGTTTGGAATACCAGAGTAATTTTACTCTGAATATAGCTGTCCGTTTTGTTTCTAGGGCATTTTATTCTGGAGCATCTACGCACAAATGTTTTCTCCTTGGGAAGCATGGGTTTGATTTAATGCTATAGATATTACCCTAAATATGTCACATACTCTCTCTTTTTAGTGTTCATTTTGTTTTAAAGCAACCTTGGCAAAATTACGTAAGGACCTTAGGAAAGGGGAAACGCTGTAAGATTCAGAGGTAAAGTGTATTTGAGAAACTTTTGGAAGGGGATGTAGAGAGGAAAAATTAAAATGAATTCACAAATAGTTGAGACTGCCTTTTGTAAACTTGTACTGAAGCAGAATCTAGTATGTATCCGTTTATTTACTACAAAACAGATTTTGTAGAGAAACAAAGTTATCCTAGTTTTCCTTTATTAGCTATTTATGAATTATGTTTAATTTAGTAAATTATAATTCCAGACCCAACCATTTCCAGATTATTGCATATTATTTTATACCTAAAACAGACCTCCCCAAAGAACTCTTAAATTTCTACTCCTCTTGGTTTTATTACCTTCAGACATTCATAACTGTATTATATCATTTGGCAGCAAATACTGAATATTACTGAAAATTAAGATGTGTAAATCATTGATTAGTTTGTAAATTATTAAACAAAAACACTGTTTTAGCATAGTGGGTCTTATATAAATAAGCAAAAAGCAAGGCATTCTTATGGATAGATTTTGTGTGGGGGGGTGCACCATACACACACACACACACACACACACGCAGCAACTTTTTCAATTTCATCAATCAAAATAAGAGATAACTTTGACTTTTTCTTTATCCCTGATGCTGTAATGCATTTCAAATCTAAGGGACAATGGAAAGTTTTACTGAGTTTGCTTAAGCAGAACTTAAGTTAATAATTAAGTTACAGTGTAGTATCTATCGCTTTCAAGGCATAGTTCCATGTAGTGAAAAGACTACCATATTTGAATGGCACCTAATACAAATATTGATCTTTTCTCTACACATATGCTATATCTTATCTTTTTGTCTACACTACTAAATTCGTTCAGTTTCCAGTTACCATAATTTTTATATAAAATTGAAACCCACCATCTGATCCCATGAAATGGTGTTTAGAATGCATGATATTTATAATCCTTAACTATTTACACTCTTGGTTTATCAGTTTTCTAGGTAAAAGCTTATTATTTAAGGTTCTCATTTGCTAATTGCTTTTCATCTTGCTTTACTTAGTTTATACCCCTGAAATAGCAAAGAGCATTGAAAGGTACTGGAAGTGGAAACCGTGTCTTTTAATATTTATTTTCTGTTTCCCTCCATAGTGTGGTGGTTTTACCTGCAGAAAGCAGTCAGCAAATGCTGTTAATTAACACAGTGCTTTAGCTATTTCCAGCTTTGCTTTTTTCCTCTGGCCTTCCCCTATCCCTTGTTTTTAACATTTTGATTTTCCTGGCTATGGGGAATAACCAGAGTTCAAAACAAAAAAACTAGCCAGATAAAACCGTGGTTGGGTCCTTATTAGAGATACAGCTCTGTATGTAATTATAGCATGGTTGTAATCTCCTTAAAGACAGCGACGGCTTAGGATTCGTCTTAGATTTCTCACGATGCTCATTATGCTGTCTTGTACCCAGAGAGGCAATACACATTTGTGGAATGGAATTTCAAACTGTTAAGTTTGGCAAAGCCGAGGGTAGTAGCCGAACTCTTTTCTCCAGCTCTGCCATTCCCTAACCCTGACTGCCCATCGCCTCTAGGCCTGAGACACAGTCAGGAGAGCAGGACCCAGCAGAGGACTGGGAGTGTGGAATTTGGGATCGATTCACAGCCCAGCCCGTCCTAGCGTGAAACTGCGAAGTAGCTTCTCTTTCTGAAGGTTGGGTTCTGCGTGCCAGATGAAAGGGTCGGGGGCACATTCTGCCCCCCTGCGCGGTCCCGGGCCCGAGCTCAGCGTAGCCAGCCATAGCTGGTTCTCGCTAAGCGATTCATCCCCAGCAGGCAACCTCTGCTCAGAAGGAAGTGGGGCGTCCCGGGACCCTGGAAATATCCGGGATTTTGTAGACTTGTTTAGGGGGAAAAAACTAATTCAGCTGATGTAAAAATCCCCAGCTGTTATAAGCTTTATCAGTGAAATGGGAAAAAAAAAAAAAAATCCCCAGCTGGTGCTCGCCCTCATTTGTCTCGGCCCAGAAGTTACAATGAATTGGTCTGGTTAAAAACTCAACAGAGCCCTGCGTGGTGGCGCGCGCCTGTGGTCCCAGCTAGTCGGGAGGCTGAGGCTGGAGGATCGCTTGAGCCTAGGTGTTCGGGGCTGCGGTGAGCTGCGATGGCGCCACTGCACTCCAGCCTGGGTGGCAGAGCGAGACCGCGCTCTACGAAACACGTTTTAAGTAGCGTATTTCGGGGTGCTGTGGCTCCAAAGCCGGCATCGCGCGGGGCCCGCCCACTCTCTCCACCGCCTGTAGGTCTCGCGCTGGTCCCTTTAAATGGTCCCTCCGGGAGCCGAGGGACCGGTCCCTTTCAGAGCGCGTCCGTCCAGGAACGCGGCTGCAGAAAGAGAGTTCCGGGGCCTCCTAGGCTACTGGTTGGCCTGGCAACGCCGCGTGCTCTTCCCGAGGGAAGGACGCGGGAGAAGCCGGGGCCTGAGGTCTCCAGGGCCCCGTGGGCTTCTTGGGTTTGCTGCCCCCCGGCCGCTCATCAACTCAGGATGGCTTGGAAGGCCTCGCCCGTCTCCTTTTCTGGGCCGCGGCCCCCCTTAGGTGAAGGCTTGTTTGGGCGTCCCCATCTTGGAGAGGGGCGGGGCCTCGCCTTTCAGAACTGCCACTCTTCTAGTGGTAATTGGATAAGGAGCATTTGTAGGGTCTTTTATGAAGTTTATCAGTAAATCAATTTGATGGCGTAAATACTTCCACAAGCGCTTGTTAGACAGCTCACCGTGTTTGAACCACACACCTGCCATTCTTAGTGGGGATTATTCCTCCCATTCGCCTTCAGAGTTAATTTTCTAAAGCGATTGGGACTGGAACCTAGTTCTTTTTCGGGTATTTTGCACTTTTCTCATTGAAGGATTAAAGAACTCTGACATTTGGAGTATTACAGCCCCAAAGAGTTACTTACGAAAAAACATCCAAAATAGGAGGAGGACTACCAATGCTAACTAGTAAATTTGGGATTACAGTAGTGCTGGCCATTATCTCATTTAATCCTGATGATAGCCACAGTTTGCTATCACTATTTGTAGGCAAAAGTGAAGGGTGGAGCCTGACCCTGGTCCCAACGCACCTCTGAGATAAAAGTCCACCCTGCCTCCCGGGTCCTATTAGTGCCTTCTTTTTCCAGCGGAGAGGGACGGCTTACTCTTTGGACACAGCTTGATTGGCTTTTCTTTGTAATAAGCAGAGTCTAGCGTTACCTTTAAGTAACTCTTGGCGTTCCTCTTTCCCCAGCGCTGGCGTCGATGCTCCCTTCTTGGGGCCATTGGAGACTCCGTTGCGGCTGCTGGGTGAGCAGCTGGAGGCTGGACAGCGTTTGTCCCGTCTGGAAAGGATCGCTTTGGTGGGAGTAGTTTTTCCCTCTTTGCTCCTCCACTCTTGAAAGGAGAAGAAGATGCCACTGCCATTCGGGTTGAAACTGAAACGCACCCGGCGCTACACGGTGTCCAGCAAGAGCTGCCTGGTTGCTCGGATCCAGCTGCTCAATAACGAGTTTGTGGAGTTCACCCTATCGGTGGAGAGCACTGGCCAGGAGAGCCTCGAAGCTGTGGCCCAGAGGCTGGAGCTGCGGGAGGTAAGCCACCTAAAGACACTGCAGGCCAGGCGCAGTGGCTCACGCCTCTAATCCCAGCACTTTGGAAGGCCGAGTCGGGTGGATCCTGGAGGTCAGGAGTTGGAGACCAGCCTGGCCAACATGGTGAAACCTCATCTCTACTAAAAATACAAAAACTTAGCTGGGTGTGGTGGCATGCACCTGTAATCCCAACTACTCGGGCCGCTGAGGAAGGAGAATCACTTGAACCGAGGAGGGGGAGGTTGCAGTGAGCTGAAATGTCCAGCCTGGACAAGAGTGAAACTCCCTCTCAAAAAAAAAAAAAAAAAAAAGATATTGCAGGCTTCTGTGGCCCCCATGCTGGCTGTGTGTTCAGGCCAGTGGGTATTAACTGTGTGTCCCTGCCTGAGATGTCTGTGTTGAGTCTGCAAGTCCCCTTATGAGGCAGGAACAGATTAGAGCAAGAAGTCTTCCCTTGGGGGTGCCCTGTAAGAACTTATAGTGCCTGAGTTTTGAATATGTTTATATTTTCCCCAAACATAATCCAGAATCAAATGTGAATGCACTTTGGGTTGTTCAAGTTTCCATTTTCTAATATACCCCCAAGGGTATTCCTGATCTCTAGTACAGTTTTCTGACTTCATTCTTTCTTGTTCACTTTTTTTTTTTTTTTTTTGAGACGGTGTTTCGCTCTTGTTACCCAAGCTGGAGTGCAATGGCGCAATCTCGGCTCACCACAACCTCCGCCTCCTGGGTTCAGGCAATTCTCCTGCCTCAGCCTCCTGAGTAGCTGGGATTACAGGCACGCGCCACCATGCCCAGCTAATTTTTTGTATTTTTTAGTAGAGGCAGGGTTTCACCATGTTGACCAGAATGGCCTCGATCTTTTGACCTCGTGATCCACCCGCCTCGGCCTCCCAAAGTGCTGGGATTACAGGCGTGAGCCACCGTGCCCGGCCCTTGCTCACTTTTATTTTTTTAGAGACAAGGTCTAGCGATGTTGCCAATAACAAAACAGGTGTGATGCGTGCTGTGTTGATGGAAGTAGAGGGTGTGCTATAGGCTGGAGGAGGTGCAGCAAAAAGAAGGCGGCTCAGGGAAGGTGATTCTGAGCTGTGACCTGAGGATGGGACCAGGGAGTCCTATCGGGCTAGAAGAATGTTCCAACAAAGAGAACTGCACAGGGCCAAAGACATGGACACAGCTGGTCTGCCTGACCCAAGGGCCACCCAATGAGGATTTTTTGTTAAAGGACTACTTATCCTGAGGGTGGTGGGGAAGTTAATGAAGGGTGTGAACAGGTGTGGTACGATTGTTTTTGTGAAGAGTGAGCCCTTTGGAGAATGATTGGAGAGAACTGGTTCAGGCACAGATGGTAGCCACCTGGAGTTGCATAGGGTTGGAGAGAGGTGGTTGGAATCTGCAGATATTCAGGACCTACCTACCAAGTAATAGGGAAGGGTTAGCATGGATTCATGTTGATTTTCAGGTTTTCAGTACATGGTGGAGCTATAACAGAGAGGAAACGTGAAAGAAAGAGTAGATCTATTAGGGGCAAGGAGAAGCGTGTGGTGAGTTCAGTTTTGGAAATACTGAGTTTGAGGTGCCAATTAGAGGTGTTGAATAGACAGATGGATCTGCTGGTCATCAGGCGTGAGATCCAGGTTGGAGGAAAGAGATTGGGAAGCATCAGCCTAAGTGAGTTCATTAAAGCCAGAAGAGGGTATGAGCTTCTCTAGGGGAGAAAAAGGACATCACAGACCCCTCATGGTAGATTAGAGGAGGGGAGAATGTCGGAAGGAAACTGAGATGGAACTGCCCAAGAAGAAGAAAGAAAACCAGAGCAGCAGGCCTCAGCAACCAGTCCCTGCTTACTTGCGTTTATTTTTTTTTTTTAGGGATGGGGTCTCACTCCATCACCCAGGCTGGAGTACAGTGGCACCATCGTAGCTCACTGCAGCCTCAAACTCCTGGGCTCAAGTTATCCTTTTGCCCCAGCCTGCCAAGAGCTGGGGGACTACAGGTGCACACCACCACACCCAGCTAATTTTTATTTTAACTTGCATTTTTGAGATGTAGTCTTGCTATATTACCCAGGCTGGTCTTAAAGTTCTTTCCTCTAGTTATCTTCGCCTTCTGAGCAGGTAGGATTACAGTCATGTGCCACCTTGCCTGGCTTAGTGGCTTATTTTATTTTATTTTTTGGCTTGCTTTGACTTTTTTTTTTTTTTTTTGAGACAGTTTCGCTCTTGTTACCCAGGCTGGAGTGCAATGGTGCGATCTCAGCTCACCGCAACCTCAGCCTCCTGGGTTCGGGCAATTCTCCTGCCTCAGCCTCCTGAGTAGCTGGTATTACAGGCATGCACCACCATGCCCAGCTAATTTTTTGTATTTTTAGTAAAGACGGAGTTTCACCATGTTGACCAGGATGGTCTTGATCTCTTGACCTCGTGATCCGCCCGCCTCGGCCTCCCAAAGTGCTGGGATTACAAGCTTGAGCCACCGCACCCGGCCTTTTTTCTTTTTTCTATTATGGTTTCTTCTTCCTGTAATTTTCTTCCGCATGCACCAGGTCTTTCTATAACTCCTAGAGAGTCAACTTTTTGAGGAACTGTGGTTTATTTATTTTTGTACCAGGTGTGGAATGTGTTCAGTAAATACAGGGAGAACTGAACCCATAGGCATTGATTTCCTTCTGTTAAGTCCACAGAAATTGTCATCCTTTGTTAGAAGTTATCAGTCTCAGGGAATAAGTAACTTTATATAGCTGTGGGTATATTTTGAGCCTGTTTTTCAACAGAAGAGGAAACAGGCATGGTCCCTAGAAAATGTTTTGCCCTTGGAGAGTCTGCTCCACAATTACCAATATTTAGTAACAGTCACGGTTAGAAAGTTTGTATAGCAAACTTTTGCTTTGAAAGCCCCAGAAGCTCTGCTCTGTAGCATATAAACAGATGGCTCAGGCATTAGGCCTAATTTTATCAAATGACTGTTCAAAAATAATCTGAGTGGGGTCACACCTGTTTCTAGTTTGTACATATAGCCTGTGTATGATACACACTAAGAAGTATCGGTATGCAGGTTTCTTGCACTGTTCTCCCACCAAGCAAATCTGGAATTATCATAGCATATAGATTGGGGTGAAAAGCTTTGCTCCTGTCCAAATATAAGTGGAGAGAAAAGTCTTTACTCTTCTTACTTAATTGAATACCATTTTACTTCTATAATGACAGTTTTTTTTTTCTTTTGAGATGGAGTTTTGCTCCTGTCGCCTAGGCTGGGGTGCAATGGTGCGATCTCGGCTCACTGCAACCTCTGCCTCCCAGGTTCAAGTGATTCTCCTGCTTCAGCCTCCCCAGTAGCTGGGATTACAGGTGCCTACCACCATGACTGGCTAATTTTTTTTTTTTTTTTTTTCTAATAGAGGTGAGGTTTCACCTGGTTTCTAACTCCTACCTCAGGTGATCCGCCCACTTCGGCCTCCCAAAGTGCTGGGATTATAGGAGTGAGCCACTGCACCTGGCCCCATAAAGACAATTATAAGGGCTGCACAATAATATTATTGTAACATACCCAGGGGTTTCAGCCATATCAGTAATATTTTTTCTTCTTTTTTTTTTTGAGGTGGAGTCTTGCTCTGTCACCCAGGCTGGAGTACAGTGACACCATCTTGGCTCACTGCAACTTCCACTTCCTGGGTTCAAGCAATTCTCCTGCCTCAGCCTCTCTAGTAGCTGAGATTACAGGTGCCTGCTAACACACCCTGCTAATTTTTGTATTTTTAGGAGAGATGCAGTTTCACCATGTTGGTCAGGCTGGTCTCGAACACCTGACCTCAGATGATCCACCTGCCTTGGCCTTCCAAAGTGCTGGGATTTCTTACACTGGGTTTATGGGTAGTATTTCTTACACAGGGTATATGGGTATGTTTTTTAGTTTGTATTTTTAGCCTTCATATTTTTACAAGTGTCTAAGATATTTTATATTAAATTATAAACAAAATGGTTAATATACGTATGTCCAATGTAGTTAACTTCGGTTGCTTTCTTCTAAATTCACCTTTTTTGAACTACAGAAAGTATCTTTTAAAAAATGGGAAAAAAGGCCAGGTGTGGTGGCTCACACCTGTGATCTCAGCACTTTGGGAGGCTGAGGTGGGTGGATCACGAAGTCAGGAGTTCAAGACCAGCCTCGACAAGATGGTGAAACCTTGTCTGTACTAAAAATACAAAAATTAGCCGGACATGATGGTGGCACCTGTAATCCCAGCTACGTGGGAGGCTGAGGCAGGGAATCACTTGAATCCAGGAGGCAGAGGTTGCAGTGAGCCAAGATCACACCACTGTACTCCAGCCTGGGTGACAGAGTGAGACTTTGTCTCAAAAAATAATAAAATATAAAAATAAAAATAGGAAAATGAATTATTCCCTTAGGAAAATATTGGTGTTCATTTTAGCAGTAGTTTTTCAAAGCTATTGGAATTCCCTGTCTATCATTAATTCTGAGATTCAAAACAGTTTTTCAAGAGAGGTTGTGAGTCCTTATGGAATTTAAGGGGAGCTAGAAAATTCTCTCCAATTTTAAAAGTATATGCTGTAGAGGCTTGAAGGAGGTGGTGAGACAAGGGGGTCAGCTGGGCATGGCGACTGCCTGGGGCATCTTCATGCTGATGGAATCAGCACAGTCCAGAGTGCAAGAGTCAGGCTCAAACATCTCATGTCATGGGAAGAGCTGATTTAATCTAGCTTGCTAATAATGATGTGCAAACCCAGGACCCAAGTTTAGTGATTTTGTTCGTTTTGGCTTTTTTTGAGTTGGAGTCTTGCTCTGTCACCAGGCTAGAGTGCAGTGGCGTGATCTCGGCTCAGTGCAACATCTGCCTCCCTGGTTCAAGTGATTCCCCTGCCTCAGCCTCCCAAGTAACTTGGACTACAGGCACACACCACCACGCCCAGCTAATTTTTTGTATTTTAGTAGAGACAGGGTTTCACCATGTTGGCCAGGATGGTCTCTATCTCCTG